TATTCATTCATATCAGAGGAATATACGACGAAGAATTTATTGAATTCACAATAAAGATTATTAAAAAAGCCAAAGAGTATGGATTTAAATGTTTTATTGATCCTCATCAAGACGTTGTATGTTATGATTTTCATTACAATATATATTAATATATACATATATAACTCCTTTAATTAAAGGGGGAAAGTAACATATGCATTATTAATTATTATTATTTAATTTGATTTTTTTAGTGGTCAAGGTTGTTTAGATGAGCCAGATAAATTTATACCACGTAAAAGTATAGTGCGACCACTAGAATCTTTTATCCAACGACCTTCTAAACTAAGTGGTTCTTCAGTTTCAACAGTTAAAGTGGCGGAAGAAGAATAAGTTGAAAATGTTTTTTCGGAATTTGTAAAAGAATCCTTCTTTGCGAGTAAAATTTGACGCATAATAACACTTAAATATTATTTAAAAAAGAATTTATTTATTAATTTAACAAAACTTTTATTGGGGAGAAAATTCTCTATAGAAATTTTATATGTAAATAAATAAAAACGAACTATAATTTATATATAAAATAAAATGCATACAAAAAAGGGATTACTAAATAATCAACCTTTTCTTAATATTAATACTATATATGGAACACTAATTGAATTATATATTTTTAAAGGAAAATTTATTAAGCCCATGTACGATTTCTAAACTATAAAGGTTGATATCAAATAGTGGTGTAACATTAACTCAGCGCCCACAATATTAGTAACATAAATTGTTACACGATTATTTATATTGTTAATATTTTTGTGATTAATCCACCGATGTTAAAACTTTGACTATTAGCTATATACCATTTACACGTGAAAAGGTTAGACTATCTATTATTTTACTATTGCCACTATATATTTATTTTTTTATAACAATTATAACATAATAATTATTTATATTATTTGTATAATTGTCTTTCTAAACTCTCTAATTAGTTTCGAAAAGTATCAACTTAATCCGGTTTAAAATAATTTCTAACTAATTTGAGTTTTGAAAGGTAACTAATAAAGAAATAATTTTTTATTTTTATAAATTTTGATTAGACGATCAAATATCTTTTTGTTGGTATTCTTGTAATTTAAATTTAAATGATATAACATTGATATGATCTGTGACAAAGAATAGTGACTGCTGAATCACCAGTTAAACTTTAATACATAAAAGGTATGTGCTCAGCACATTCAGACAGATTTGGAAGGATCAACCTTTGTCAATACCCGGCTGCTTTGGATAAAACAACCACCTCGACGAGATGAATCTAATGAGACGTAATCCATAAAATTTGAATCATCAATTATTGTGATGTTTTGGTTCACTATATATCTTACAACAATAATTCACTATTTATTGATACTATGAACATTAAAATACCATATCCGAATCCTCTCATATGCTTATGCATTGTACTATTATTATATGTGTTTAAATTTGCATTCACATCATATGCATACTTAATCTGTATTTTTAGCTTTATTTAAAATCTTTAATGCAAATGTGTGGAAGGACATTTTGATTATATACGTGCTATTAAAGAATAATAAATACAGGGGCTTCAGGGAGTGTGTAACTCACACCCTTAAGAAGAATATAATAAGAATGTTCAAATGATAAAAAGGTTATCCTTTTGATGTAACAATCTTTTTAATTCAACCCCCTTTATCATCATATGTTCCAATTTTGTTTTTCATATAGAAATAAACTTCAATTTCCTCAAAGGAGATTTATGTATCAGGAGCCAGGGCTGGAAATAGGGTCTGAAAAAAAAACGGAAATTTCTCTTGAATGCTAAAAATTTTCCGAAAGAAAAATTTAAATTTTTTGGGTGCTAAACTTTTTTCAAATTTAATTTTCTTTATTTTATTCTTCTGTTTTTTTACTAACCATCATTAATAAGTACAATGTGCCATTTTCCATTGCATTACATTTGATAATATTCTGTTTGCTAAAACCTTTTTCACAATCTACACTAGAAATGGCA